GGGTAATTTCTTCAGCTCCATTTCAAAATTCACTAATTTTCTCCAGTCAGCTATTAAATCCATCAAAATAGGTTTGTTTCCAACAATCTCTCATTTCTGAATTTTCTATTTTTCATCATACCTGGTCCTTCCATTGTGCCTTATTTCTTATTTTTGTGACTCTATTTTTTAATTATTTAGTATATCATCATTTTCTATTTGATAATTCTGTTCTTTGAAGTCTTTGGGCATTGTGTTTCTGCTGACTCTCACCTGTGGCTCGTTGATCTTAGATACTGAGCTCCCACTTGATTGGTCTGAATTGAGGCAGAAGGACTTAAATTTGCCTCTGCCAGGAGCCAGGGACAGCATTGTCTAGTTTATTCGTATGTGCATGCATGTCCCCATTTATTTTCTGCCCTAGTGTTTCTCTTACCTCCTGAGAGCTTAGCGGTACATTAAAAAGTATATCTTTCATCCAGGAACTAGTTGCTTTGTAGCATGAAGACTCCTCAGGAAATGAAAGCCTTAAATGAATTCTCTAGTTAGGGAACAGTTTTAACTGTTGGATAAATTAGATTTTTATGAGTAGGCTCTGCATATGATAGAAATTATAGAAATAAGCTAGGTTTCTGGTCTGGTAAATGAAATCAACAGTCAGTAAACAAGGGGTTGATTATTCACTTGATGGGAGGATTGGCATAGAGGCTTTTGGTTGCTAAGTGCATCAAAAGTTCCATTTGTGGGGGCACCTGGATGGCTCAGTGGGCTAAGCCTCTGCCTTCGGCTCAGGTCATGATCTCAGGGCCCTGGGATCAAGCCCCACATTGGGCCCTCTCCTTGGCAGGGAGACTGCTTCCCCCTCTCTCTCTGCCTGCCTCTATCCCTACTTGTGATCTCTCTCTGTCAAATAAATAAATAAAATCTTAAAAAAAAAAAAAAACTTCCATTTGTGACTCCATTTCTCAACAGAGAAAACAAAAATGAATCTAAAGCATTTTGAGTAACTACCAGAGGTCAAACTGAGTAAGATAAAGTACCTGGAATCATTACAGCAATTGATGGGGGAAAACAGAATTTACCTAAGCAAAAACTCCACTTTGCTCCCCAAACAAAATTAGTACGTTTCACCTTAGACAAAAAGAGTGTTATAAACAAGTTGTTTGTTTCTTTTCATTTTGGCTAATCCTATCAAAGTTCCCTGGACAGCTCCTTTTGGACTTTCTCCAACGATTATTTGCAACCTTTTCCTCCCTCATCAGCCGTCAGAGTCAAGTCTTCCCTCACAGTTACACTTAGCAGATGCCTCTGACTTTTTTTTACAAAGGATACAGACATCATCAGAAGAGAACTTCTACACCTTGCATCACCAAAGTAAATCCTCCACCCATTGGCACTTATCCTCTTCTCCTAATTTAATGTAATTAATTAATTTGGGGGGGGCAGCAGGAGGGGCAGAGAGAGAATCCCAGGCAGGTTCCACACCCAGCACAGAGCCCAATGTGGGGCTCCATCTCACAACTCTGAGATCACGATCTCGCCGAAATCAAGAGTCGGACACTCAACTGACTGAGCCACCCATGCGCCTTTCTCCTAATATTAAAAGACAAGCCGCTCCTCCACTCCTCACCGAAGCCAGCATCTCTTTACACATCCTCTGGGACTTTGATCCCCACTCTCTCTCTTTCTCTCATCTTCAGCTACTCCTGTTCATCTTGTTCTTTTCCAAGAACACCTAAAACATGTTCAGGTTAAAACAATGGGAAAAAAAAAAAAAACAAAAACAACCAACTCTCCTTCTTCTGCCCCCCTATTTCTCCCCAGTTACCAATCCTCTCTCCCACTTCATAGCCAGATCTCAGATGAGTTGTCCACTGCTCTCCATTTCCGTACTGGAGTTCCGTACTGGAGTCCTCCAGTACTCCACTGACATTCTTACTGTAAAGTTCCCATATTTCCAAATCCAGTGGACATCTGTTGGTCTTCACCTACTGCTACTTTACTTCTCCACCTCGTTGAACACTTCAGACATTCACGTCACTCTTGTACATGCACACACACTCATACACTTCTTTAGATCTTATTTAATGTCGGTTATAAAGAAGACTGATAATGTTGAGTATCATTGTATTTCTCTTAAAACCAATTACTGGGGGCACCTGGGTGGCTCAGTTGTTAAGCGTCTGCCTTCAGCTCAGGTCATGATCATCGAGCCCTGCATCGGGCTCCCGACTCAGCGGGAAGCCTGCTTCTCCCTCTCCTGCTGTGCCTCCCTCTGTCAAATAAATAAAATTTTCAAAAAGAAATAATAAAACTAATCACTATTCATTATTAGTGTTGTATATGTTAGTGTAAATTATTTCTCCTTTATATTGCAATTAAGACCTTCTTGATTAAGAAAGTACATGCATAGGTGGGTTCCATTTCTAAATTTCATTTTAGGTGAGTAAAAAGGGTTTTCAAATCATCTATTAGCAAAAGTTGGTGCTGGCCTGGTGGGATTGAGAATTTCTGCTCTACTTTCCTCTTTATAAAGAGAGCAGGGCAGTGACCCAGTAGAAGCTAGCGTCTGCATTTCCAAGGGCCCATGTCACTGCTTTTGAAAAAGACGCAGCTTGTAGCTACGTGACGAATCTTCCCTGAAACTTTTATGGGTTATTTTGGTTGCTCCTTAGTTCTGGTGTGAACCACCTTAATAATGGACATAATGGACATTCTTTCATCACTTTTTTTTTTCCCCTTAAGATTTTTTTCTCTTACTGAGAAAGACACAGAAAGAGAGGGAATACAAGCAGGGGAGTGGGAGAGGGCGAAGCAGGCTCCCCGCTGAGCAGGGAGCCTGATGCAGGGCTTGATCCCAGGACCCTGGGATCATGACCTCAGCTGAAGGCAGATGCTCAAGGACTGAACCACCCAGGCGCCCCTCATCACTTCTTTTAAAGCTTAACTCTCTCAGGATCATGTGTGGGAGGACACGGAGTTGAAAAACAAAACTCCAAGCATGAGATGCTTTTTGCTGTTGAAAATGATTTGTAGTGAAGTTGTTTTCTGACCATGGTTCTTTTCTTTGGAAGGCTCTTTTCATGGGCTCAAGGCCGTCTTTTGGTTATTGTTCCCAAGAAACGGTTTTTAGCCACTAGACTGCTTTGTGCACATGGGTTTCTTTTTCCTTTTTGCCCCTATCCAGTAAGACAGTTCTGCTTTAGTGGAAAAGCTTGGCTACCTAATAGGTCGGCGTCCTGCCTTTTAGAGATGGGTGGCTGTGACCACATCTGCAGTGTAAACAGGCCTGTCTTTCTAGGGAGTTGACATCCTGGGGAAGGTTAACAGGGCAGCCATGCAGCCCAGCAGGGACAAAGGAAGCCATGTAAGCCCTTGTTACTTAAGAGTGTCTGAGGATCAACACCATGCATGTCACCTGGGAGTTTATTAGAAATGCAGAGGCTCAGCCTCGCCCCAGATCAGTGACTCAGAGCCTATGTTGGAACACGGTCCTTACTGAGACTCCTGGTGCACATTCTAGTTTGAAAAACACCACTGCTCTAACCTACATTCAAAGCCGCAGCCTTCTGACGGACCGCAGCACAGACACTGCTTCCTCCAGGAAGCCTTCCCTGGACTCCCCCAGCTTTGGCCTGAGTGTTCTTTCATACACACAGTGGATGCCCCCCACCCTCGCCACACTGTCACCTGGATCTCATCTGGCCTTCCTTGCCTGTTGCTGTAGGTATGCATACCTGTCCTTCCCCAGAGGTGAGCTCTAACCCAATCATTCTGTGCTCGCCTTGCCTATTGCCTGACTCAGAACAAGGACCAATCGGAAGGCTCATGGAGCCAGTGAATGAATGAGTGAGCAAGTGATGAGTAGGACAGAAATAAAAGCTTGAAATTCACAGAAGGTTAGGTGTTTATTTTTTGCTGCTGCTTAGACAAGCTCTACAAGGTCAACACAAAATACACAGACTATTTCAATGGCATTGATTTTAAACATCAACCTCAGACCACAGCATTTAGGATTTCCGGAGCACAATGGTTCAGGCACTGTTGTACCCAGAGGCACATAGAGTTTACCAGGGTGAAAGGGAGTGACTCGCTCTCATGGGGATGCTGTTGCCAGCTGCCTGGTGAGGTAAGGAAGAGCAGCAGACACCAGATCAAGCCCAAGTGCATAGCGCACCCTGCCTTTCATGAGCTGATTGTCCAGCTGGTGGGTGGGCAGGTCCTCTACTACACCTGTTCCCTCCTGCCACCCACCTTGGAACCAGTTCCTTCCCCTGGGAGCACCTGCGGCAGAAGGTGGGCAGGGGGAAGGGGAGGAAGCATACTGGATTTTGCTGAAGGTCAGCATCTTTGGTATAAGGAAATTCCCTGGGGCCCAGGGAGGGTTAGAGAAGGCAAGCAGCCAATACAGACTGGGGTTGAGATCCCTGGTGGATCCCGGGTGCCCCTGTTCTCCCTGCTTCCCACCAGCAGGAAATGGATGGGCCCTCAGTTTGTGAAGCAAATGTTGGAACCTGTGCTTCGCCCGCCTCCTTTTCAGCAAGCCTCTCCGAGGATCGGGGCCCATTTGGAAGACAAGTTTCTGCCACTCAGCCTTGAAGCAGCAGATGGAAAACATCTGCAGGAAGCAGACAGCTTCGCCTGCACCGCCTTCCCTCCATCAGTCACTGGCCTAATGAGATATCCTTGCACTTGGCTTTATCCCCCCCCTTTTCACTAAAGGACGCTTACGTGCTCTACAGACATGAAGAGCTCATGAAGCCTCCCTGGGGGGTGGGGGGGCAGGGGGCCCCCTCTTCTTGCAGCATGGTCTTGTCAGCCTTTGCTGGCTCAACTCTCTGTTCCTGAGATCCCCTCTGGCCCAGAAGACCTGAGACATGAGCATGACCAGCATTCCCCATTCAGAGCAGAATTCAGCATTTGCCTCACTTGTATCTTCCATTGGGACTTCATCCCCTCTATGTTCAAAGCTGCTTTTTTTGTGGAGGTGACAAGATCATCCTGGTTCTAGAGGCAGGGGTGGGGGTGGGGGTGGGGGGAGGAGGGCTCAGCCAAAAACAGCTGTTTCGCCACAGGGGACATAAAAGAGGTTTTGGTAGGAACGAGCAAGAGATGGTATGGGATTTGAGGCCACATGTCCCATGACCCTGTCTGTGGTGCAGTCTCTTGTGCTTTGGGGCAGAAGCACTTCAAGTCTGTAGCTTTGGTAGAAAAGACCCTCCCGATGATTTTGACCCGCCTGGGGTTGGTGGGGGGGTAAGGGAGTCCCGTCGCCCATGTTCTCCCTGTTTCCCTGGAGCAGTGGTGAACTTGGAGCCAGTCTGGTTTTCTGGCAGGTTCTTTCCCCACCAGCAGAAGACATCTGACGAGGTCCCCAATGTTTTAGGCCCAAGCCAGTGGAGACAATCAATCATCAGTCCTTCATGCCCTGGGCCCAGGAAAGCCTCAGCTGGGATGCCCAGCGCTGTCTGCCTTGTTTTCCCCTCCTTCTCCAGCTGACTTCCAGAGGGCCTGATCTGGGCCTTCCTAAGAGATATCCAAACTACTGATCTGAAAGGTGAGAAGGCACAGTGGTTTAACGAACGGTCATCAGCAACTAAAAGGAGGGAAAGAAATTACACTTGTTCTCAAGATAGTTCATTAGTGGCTCCCAAACGGAGGTGACTTCACACTCCCACAAGAGATCAATGTGCTTCCACTGTTGGGGACTTAGGACTTCCAGGGAAAAAAACTCTCCCCAGCTCACGGAGGACAAGGGAGATCAGCTTGGGCCCCGTCCCCCGCCCCCTCCTACCTGGCAAAGGAGCCCTCGACAGTTGGCTCCAGGGTTCAGCCAGCAGGCTCACCCCCAGGCTCACCCCCCAGGGGCTCCCGCCTGACCTCTGGCTGCTGCCCAAGGTGAGTGAGGGAGGAGGCCAGCCCCTGCTCTGCCTGCTGGGTCTCAACTCTTTAGCCCTGTGCACTGAATCGGCTCCAGGTTGAGCTCTTATCTGCCCCCTTAGAGCCCCAGCTCTGCAAAAGCCTTGGGGAAAGCAGCAAAAAGGGAGTGGGGACATAAGCAGATCGAATCCACCAAGGTACAAGCCTCTCACTGCCCTTTTTCACTGCAAAGAGGGTGCGTCCGTCTCTGCAGAGATCCCAGCAGGGTGAGCGGCCGGCCTAACAACTGTCACTGGCTTTTTAAATCTACAAGTTGAAATCTCAAGAGACTCAACTTTTTAACTAAGTGAGTATAAATGCAAATCCCGTTATATATATGAAATCTACACGAACACCTATGTCACACCCGCGTGTGTGCCCTTCTGAGTATTACACCGCGTACATCAGGGTCCCAGGAATTCAGACGCCCAACCACCGCTCTGCGCCCAATTTCACCATACCGCACCATCCAGAAAAGCAGTCCTGACAGGCCCAGGGGTACTGTCTGGCCCGCGTCTGGTTTCTGGGGCCGGAGGCAGGCACCTCACACGTGGCTCGTCTTCTGGGCCAAGGTGTGGTCCATTGTCAGAGTAAACTTGACGCCACCATCCTTCTCCCAGCCCCTCCGGATTCTGGAGAGCTTGCGGCGGAAGTAGGGGAGCAGGAAGAGGCCTTTGGCCAGGATCACGACGCAGGGCACCAGCAGCGTGAGCGTGAACGTGGGAGGCAGGTAGAACTTGTAATGGCTATCTTCGAAGGCGCGGGTCCAGCCGTAGGTGAGTGTGTGCAGGGTGCTCAGCACCAGGGCCACAAAGCCCAGAGTGGACTGCGGGAGAAAGGAAAGGTTAGGGACAGGCTGGTGACACGTGGTGATTCCTCCAAGCGCTTGTCTGCCTGCCCGGCCAAGGGAGAGGAAGGAGGGCTGCTTTGGTAGTTGAGACTGTGGGTTCGGATCCCAGCCCCGTCACTCCCTCTGTGCAGGACCTTAGCACTACCTAAACTCTGAGAGCCTCAGTTTCCCCAGCAGAAAAATGAAAATAATGTCTCTATCCTGCAGGAGTGTGAGGATCGAGGGAATCATGAGGATCTGATAAAAGTGATGCTGCTTTTCCCCAAACTGTGTTATTTGTACCTCTGGTGGCTGCCAGGGGAAGGAGACTTGAGATGGAATGAAGTTCAACAATGTTTAAAAAATTTTTTACAAGTTTTATGCATAGTTTCATGTACACTAGAGTCACAGGTGTCTGCCAGCAGACCAAAGCCAGAATTTCACCAATCATATTTGGCCTAAGATGAGGCCAGATAAAATAGTGGATTGGTTTCAAGTTGATTGAAACATGAACACAAAGTAACAAGCATACTCCGTGTGTGGATCTGGCACCACGAGTGAGGGCGGCTTCAAGTCTGCGGGCCAGGTAACCTGACACCATCTGGGAAGCCTGGCTTTAGAGCATCATGTAAATGCTCTTGGTGGGGGCTGGTCCCCCACCCACCCACACCTTGACTCATCAACACCTCAGATGGAAACCCCACCAGGTTCCTCTCTTGCCTGGAATGGAGTGGATACTGTGCGGAGACCGAGACCATCACAAACCTAAACGGAAGCGGTTTACACCATCTTGCGAGGAAGGCGAGTGTGCCAGCCCTTGAGCCTCAGGCGGGCTTCTGTGTACCCACCCACTCCAGCCAAGGCCTCTCTTCATCGCCGAGAGGGCTACACAGTCCTGACTTCCCATGGGAGCTGGGAAGTCCTGATCTATAGCTCTAGCCTGGGAATCTCTAGCAGTTTCTTGTGGACCACAAGCGAGGCATTCCAGAGTCTACTCCAATGACACTGTGACCCCTGGGCAAGACACTAACTGAGCCTCAGTGACAAGTCAGTGGTCCCCAGAGCTAAAGCTGGAGATGTGGGGGAAGCGCTGTCCAGATGGGCCAGGGTTGATGGAGAGCATGGGGCACTCAAGAGGCGGGGCACAGAGGCACAGAGGAGAGGCACTGGGCGCATTGAGGAACCACGGAGAGATCTGGGGCAGGAGAGCCCTGTGTTTATTACATAAGGAATGAAAATAGCAGTGACTCATCAAGCCATGAACACGTATGCGTTTTCTCCAAGGAGACGCTGGAAGGGTTCAACTGAAATGTGGCAGTATGATGGTACCTCGGGGTACTCTTCATAGGCTGGCTTGCAGCCTCCCACAGGGAAGCTACAGCTGGGCCTCCTGGATGTCCTTCCAGCCCTGCTTGTCAGCACCGATCCAGGGCTCGGCTGAGAGACATGGTCTTGCTTGTGCTTCCCTTCAGGCACGGTGCTAAGTGGGTCTGATTCTGCTACCTGGCCTCATTCTCACTCCTCCCTTGCATGGGGGACGCCTTGCTTACCCCCATTCCAGTACAAACACCAGGATGGTCAACCTCGGTCCGTGGAAGAACACTGTTTGGAAGAAGTACCTGAAATACTTTTATGAAAAAAACAAACATTTTCTAATGGCTCTACACTCTACATTCATAGACAGGTTCCCAAGTACAGCATTTTTGACCGCTAAAAAATACTAGGTGCTAAGAGATCCCCAGTTTCTGGCCTTCCTAGCCATCTCCGTGTTTTCTTTCTTGGCTTTTAATAACTTCTGAGATGTTTTTATCCCGTCTTTAATAATTTCCTGTTGGGAAGAGCCATAGTTGGCTCTGGGCTACTACCCACACAGTCAGGTCATATTAAAATGGTCAGCCCCCAAAACGAAGGCTCCCTGGCTGGGAGTCACAACCAGATCCTTGTCACTTCCAGAGGACTCTATCAGGAATTTCAAATCTCCTCTCAACTTCTGACCCACACCAACTTTGTCTAAGTTCTGATCTATTGATATTGAAGACTGGGGTTAAGAAGGTCTCCAACACTGAGGAAAGATTCGGAATTAATATGCAGACTATATAGAGAACTCCCAAACTCAACAACAGAAAACCAAACACCCCAACTCAAAAACAGGTTAAGTACTTGAATAGAAATTTCTCCAGGGAAGTCCTATGGATGGCTAAGAAGCATGCAAAGAGATGCTCGACATCACTCATCCTCAGGGAAATGCAGGTCCAACCCACAGTGAGATGTTGCCTCACACCCATGAGGATGGCTACGGTCAAAAAACCCAGAAAACACGTGTTGAGAGGATGTGGAGAAATCAGAAGCCTTACGCACTATGAATGGGTGTGGCTGCTGTGCAAGGCGGGGGCAGGGGAAGAGGGGCTCCGCAATAAATTGAAAATACAATTATCACTCACTTCGGCACTCCGACTTCTCATGTACCCCCAAGGAATGGGAAGCAGCATCCTGAAGAGACATGTGGATACCCCATATTCCCAGTAGCCAAAACACGGAGGCAGCCCCAGTGCCCACCAGCAGAAGAATGGACAAGGGAAATGAGCTATTTCTAAACAGTGGAATATGAAGAGGAAGGCAGTTCTGACACCTGGTGGGACATGAACGAACTTAAGAACCTGATGCTACGTGAAATCAGCCGGGCATGAAAAAGACAAATACTGTAGGATTGCACTTATGTGAGGCGGTGAAGTCATAGAGACTGGGGCTGGGGGGAGCGGACAGTGGGGGTTAGTGATTCATGGGGACAGAGCATCAGTGTTGCAGGACGGGACGAGCTCTGGAGATGGACGGTGGGGACAGCTGCGCCACAGTGGGGATGGACTTAGTATTGCTGAACTGTACACTTCATGGCTAAGAGAGTATACTTTGTGTTATGTTATTTTACTGTAATAAAAAGAAACTGAGAGGGGAGGAAAGGTCCCCAGCACTGACCATCAGGAATAAAACTTGAACAAGCTGGACAACCACCCTGATGCTCTTCAACTAGCTGCCCGCCCAGCCGCCCGGCCCCAAACCCTTGCTCCCCTTACTCACATGGATTTACTGGGCTTTGCTCGGATGGCTGGGAAGCCTATTACTCCTGAGTCTGAGACTGTGTTTTTCAAATCTGGCTTCATGGTATAATCACGGGGACCTTGGGAAAAACAGGAATGCCCAAGCCTGGCCGGCAAATGCACTTGAGATTGGCTTGGGGTGGGGCTCCCGCATCATTAGCTTTTAGGAATTCAGCGACAATGCTCATGCACAGTAAGGACTCAGAACAACTGGTTAAGAGACTCTCCTCACGGAAGCCTTTCCAGTGTCAGGGATGAGAAGCCCGTGTGTGTGCCCCCCTGCCCAGGCTACAGATTACGATGGACCTGATCCTATATATCCTTCCACAAAGATCCACTGAGCCCTTGATGGGCCCACATTCTGCACTTGGGGCTTCCTCAGATGCTGAAGCAACAAGAACCCACCCAGGCCAAGGGAGCGAGCCCTGGTGGTCCCCGGGGAGGCCTCAGTATTTCCCTTAGTGACATGCCCTGGAGCTCCAGGGTTTGACCCACGTGGACCACCGTCCCTAGCCCCTAATTTGGAGGGATGGATTGTGCCAGACAATGTGGATGTGCGCTGGGAGGGCACCGAGATAGCGGCTCCCATTCCCACATCGCCATCCTTTTGCCATCCCAAATTCCACAGTGACAGATGGCAGGAAGCCCCAGCCTTGGGCTAATGGTCTACAGAGAGGGCTAACAGCCAAAGATCAGACAGTAACAAAGGGCCTTTGGACTTTGTAATCCCAATGGGACGCCTGGATGGTTCCAGTGAGTTCATTTTCCTAAAACGCTCTCCTTGGAAACAATATGAAAATCCCACACTGCCCTGCCCCCAACCTCGACAACCCCTGAACTCACCAAGCTGAGGTCATTTACATTGTATGTAAGCTTGTTAGCAAAAAAGAAACAGCCAGGTTGCCAGTGTCTCTTGCTCCTGGTCAATTACTGTGGCATAGAGGGGCTGCGGACAGTCATTCATGAAGCTGGGGTCAGAGATGGTCTCTGTCATTATTTTAGGCAGGTGGCTGGCGTGGGCAAGGTCACGGGAAGTCCCTCTCACTCTGGGGCAGAACTGAGCTGCTAGAGCAGAACCCCGATGTCTCCGAGCGGCCCTGACCTGGCAATTCGGCAACCCGACAAAGCTTAACTGGCTAACTTCGAGCAGTCAGCATAGCCGGGACCAAACCAAAGCCGTACAGCCGTTAACCACAAACCCCCAGATTTAAACCTGGGGAACAGCCTCAGGAACAAAAGGATGAACAGAAGCACAAGTCACCACCACAGAGTCAACATGCTGTTTTGGTGGCTTTCAGCTCCCTAAATCATCAGAGACCCAGGAGTCAGGCCAAGCGCATCGGGGAGCATGGGTCTCCATGGCCAGCGGCTCAACCGTGGTGACCCGAGGTGGTCGGGTGCGGCAGCGGGAGGAGACAGGGTCCAGGCAGCCAGCTTGGGACTGAAACCCGGAATCCAGTGGCTCCGCAACCTCAGCGGTTAGCACACACGTACACCTGTCACCCAAGGAGCTCACAACAACAGACTTCTCGGGCATCTGAGTCCTGAGGTCAGGGGTGGGTCTGGGTAACTGTAATTCTCCAGAAGAGCCTTGTGACTTCAGATGTGGAGATGGTGGCGTGTAGTTAAGAATCACATTTTTCATTACTGTCCCGGACACAACCAGGTATACCACATATGTAAATACAACTACTAAATCAATATAATTGAAAAAAAAAAAAAAAAAAACCTCTCCTTAAGACATGCAAAGCCCGCTGACATTTTTGTAACATTCTGTCCTATTTCATTTTTAAAAAAGCTGGCTGTGATCCACTGAATTCATTTCACGACCCACCAGTGAGTATCGACCACAGTTTGCAAACCCAGCCCTGGACCATTCTGATGTTCAGGGCGGGAGTCTCTTGGCCTCTTGTGAACTCAGACATTGGTAGCTTAGTCAGGGATAACGGAAACGTGGCCACATACCCTAAGAATGGTAGCAAGATGCTTTCTACTTTCTTCCACATGTCGTCTCTCACCACAGCTCTGCAGGCATGAACACCTTACAGGTGAGGTGAGGTTCAGGGGGCGTTTGTCACCTGCCCATGATTCAAGAGCTGGGACGGGGGAGGCAGAGCTGGACTCCAGGCCCTGGGTGCTGACAGTTCCTCCTCCCCATATTAGCACCCTCAGGAGACAGAGCATTTGTTTTCATGGACAGAAGGTGGGCGTCTGACTTTCCCAAGTAAAACCCTGCCTCTCTACCTATCTCCCGGCCTTGCAACTTGCCTCCCCTGGCCGTGGCCGAGGGACTAACATATTTACGTTCCAGCTCTTCAGTATGTAAAGTTGCGCACGGCCCGAGAAGGTTCCAGCCCGCTTTTGCTAACAAAATCAAATCCTTGGGCTTTCTCCAGCAGCCAGAGCCCGGCTTGTAGTCTATGGCTGCTTAGTGGAGCAACTTCTCGGTGAGGGGAGCGACCTGCAGTCTGTTTTAATTGCGGATAAACCATGCACTCCAGGATACTCCAAGCAGGAACAGGAAAATCCGAGATTTGGGTGTGCGACCCAAGAGGATTAACAGCAGATAAATAAAATTCTGTTTTTCCCCCATTGCTGCTGGCATGTGTCAGCCCGGAGCATTCCTCCAGAGACCTTTGGAGATGAGCAAAGCCAGTGACGTTCAGAAACAGACATACTTCAAAAAAACCCCCCAAAACCCCAAAAAAGCCCAAACAACCACAACTGTGTTTTGTTCTAGGGAATGTAAGTGTCATCAATCGGGAACAATTCATTTGGATTGCATAAGAGCACTGCACGGTCAGTGTCCCTCTGTGAATCCTGTACTGTGTCCTCAACATACAGAGAAGAGACGTGACAGATTTGTGTTGATACTGGGGGTGGATATGAGCGCTGTTCTCTGCCCCAATCCAGTATCAATGACAGAATGTAGCATTAGTCAGCACCCCTCCACGGAGGAATGAGTTAATCCACCAACATTTGGGGGGCTGACTGAGTACTCCATATAGAGAACAGTGGGGGAATGCCAAAGCATTATGAAAATGCTCCCTGTCCCAGTCATCCTTGTAACTGAAATGTGGCTGTGCTTGTCTTGTTCCCTATCACACCGGAGGCCTACCACGGGGCCTGGCATGCAGTCACTGCCCAATAAACACTTCCCGAAAGAACACCTGCAGAAAGGCCCCGAGCCCTTTAGCAGCATTTCCTAAACCATGTCTGGTGGAATGCAGTTGCTGTTGTCTGAAAACCAGAAACAAAGCAAAAAGCCAAACCTGCAAAAGCGGGGGGAAGGAGAGTGTTCATGGTCAAAGAAGTCTGGTTAACAAGGTCGGTTTGTTGTAGATGTTACTAGAATCTTCAATGTCCCAAAAGCACACTGTGAATCTCTTAGGGAAGCAAATCTTTTCTCAAGCGTATTAGACTACAGGTCTCCTTTTCTCTGGGTGTGTCACAGGAATGGTGTCCTTTGGGACGTGCAGTTTTATCCCCTGTAAATGGGTGATCTTAATGCTCACCTCCTCTTGGGCCTAAAGGGGACAACAGAGCTGGTTGAAAGGAGGCTGCTGAGTGGTCAGCGAGCTCACTCACTGGCTCACTGACTCCTAGGCTAGACCAGTGAGATACACAATGACGGTACATCATGGAATTTTGTTTGGAAAGATCAAGAACTGTAGGAACGGAGAATGTTTTAGTTCAGGGTTCACTGTTCTGTTGTCTAATTCTTTCACATGTCTACATCTGGCTTCCCCAGATGTCCCGAGGACGAGCTTATCCTGTAGCCCCTTTATCAGGAGATGTCGGGGAGCCCTCAAGGCTTGGGAAGCCCCTGGTGTCTGACAGAGCAGTCCTGTCGCACAGATTATAAAGCCAAGAGGGTTCACGGAGGGTCAGGGCCAAGGCCAAACGGGCTGACGCTCACCAGCACAGGCAGAACTGCTTTACCTGAACAAAGCTGAACTCCCTCCAGTTGAGCGAGTTTGCAATGGAGGGCAGTGACGTGACAGCCAGCAGAGACAGTGTACCAAGGGCCAGCACTCCCAGGGAGAGGTAGATCTCCATCCGCCAGACCTCTTCCTCGATCCACAGATGACTCTTGTTGGCCAAGACCTGACGTGGGTGGAGGAAATACCATGAGCACAGCGGCAGAGGTTCGTGCCCTGGGGTGAGAGCCAGAGGGTATTGTAGGGCTAGGGAAACACCGGAATGACTAACATTCCCACCATGTCCCACATGGGCCTGGTCCTGCTCTAAGTGCTTTTCAGGCATTAGCTCACCTAATCCTCAACCCCAGAGGTCGGGGGCACTGTTATCCCCACTTTACAGATGAGGGAAATGAAGCACGAGGATCAAGTAATTTTCCCAAGGTGACACACAGGGCTGTAGATGGCAGAGCCGGGGTGGGGACCCAGGCAGTCCGGGTCTTGGCTTTCTCAAATCTTCCTGGGGTCAGTCACCCAGTACAATCAGCCATGCAGACCACCGGCTTCCACTCAGGGCACACAAAGACACACAGAGACACTAAACCCCTCCACGTTTCCTGACTCAAAGCCACCAGTTCCCGACTTCCCACTCAGTTCCCCATTTCCGCTGAGGAACAGAGTTTTGGCTCAACCATTGCCAGGCAACAGAGACTGACATCTATCACCATCACCAAGTCGTGAGTACTTATGGGGCACCTGCTGTGTGCTGAGCCCTGGGCTGCAGGGAGCCAGGGTGCCTGGCCTCCCAGAGTGCTGGGAGTCCCCACTGAGCTAGGGGTAGACACAAATCAGGGAGCCCCTGCGGGCCCAGAGGTTTCTACTGCCCACCTCCCCACTCCCAGCCCAGCCGGCACTTCCTCGTACAGCACACACACTCAAGGAAGCTTTTATTAAGGTCTTTTCATTGGAACCGTCATTTGTCAACTAGACCAGGTAGCAGAGTTCCTGGAAATCAAGGTGTTCTCTGAGAAACCCCATGAAATGCTCGTACTTTCACTCTAGCAGCAGATCAAGGAACAGTATTTTCTATTTGGAAATGTGACTCTGCCTTAGCAGGCAGGTCTCTGCTGTGCAAAACAGAATGACTCATACAAGTTTGTGAGAAACTCTTTCAGCAGGGGGAAAAAAAATAAGCCAGGCCCAGTTACCAGATATAATATTAAAAATGAGTCCAGTGGGCTGAGCGAAATTTTTGAAAAGCTGATGACACAAAGCTTAAAGAAACTGAGAAAATGGGTACTTTTCCTGCAATTGAGAAACACGATGTCTTCAGTTCTGTTTTTGGGGGAGGCTGGCTCGTGTCGGTGTCCTTAAGCCACAAAAGGACCAAGGAGTCTGGGGACTCAGGTTCATATCCTGACCGCAAGTTGTATGTGACTGTGGGCAACCCCGGGCTGGAAGAGGTGATGTCCACAGTCCCGATCCCGTAACTGGGCTTGTGTACCAAGCACACCTTGGCATTCGCGGGAGGGCTCTGACCGACACTGCCCTGCACAGGGCGGAGAGGTCTCCTGCGTAACGCAGCTCCAAGTCTTACTCACCCCTTCATGGTGTTGACAACTACCACTAAGTCAGTCAACTCACTGCAAACTGTTTGTTCTTCCAACAGACTTCATTAGTCTGCGTTTCGGTAAGATCAGGCAGTTGTCACAAGTCAGAGTCTGGATGACTACACTCACATACCACACTCGCTTGCAAAATATCTTGGTTTTTGGTTTTTGTTTTTTCCTCTAATAATTTCCACTCTGCAATGCCTCTGGGAAGCAGTGGGGTGAGGTGGACCCGCGAGCAATGGGTGGCAAGGGACCTGTGTGAGGATCTGCACCCTGGCCGCCTTCAACAGCCTGTGGGGTTCTTGCTACCTGGCCGGACCACTGTGCTGGGCTCAGGGCTCTCTGGTGCCCAGGGTCACCCACGGCTACCTGGAATGTCTATTCAGCAGCTCTACATTCCCCTGGTAATTCTCCCAGGTTCACAGCTAGTCCAGCTGGCCACCTTGAGAATGACAAGGATAGTGGTTGCCAATAGGAGACAGAATAGCTCTGTTCACATGTAGGATTTCCTTTCCCTGTGGGTTGCGGGCTCCGGCCTGAAGAACCCAGGAGCAGGAGGACCAGCTTGAGATGGTCAGTGGCATGAGCCCCTCTCCTTGTCCCAAAGGTGGTGAGAGCGTGGGGCTGACCCCCAGGCTAGCCCAGAGAAAGTGGACACAGGATGTGGAAAGGGTGGCCTTTGGTAATGAACAATGAATGGCTTCAGTCCCAAGAACTGGGTGCCATGCCAATGCTGCCACGAGGGGGCAGTCACGAGACCCTGGGCAGTCCCTTCCCTGGCTAATTGCACCACCGCCTCTTTCTGGCTGTTATCACAGAGGAAGAAAAGGACGATGTTTGTGCAGTGAGTCCCCTATGACTGGCACACAGTAGGTGATTAGCACAATAAATGGCTGGTGCTTTTTTTTTTTTTTTTAAAGATTTTATTTGTTTGACAGAGAGAGAGAGAGAGACAGACGGCAGGAACATAAGCAGGGGAAGTGGGAGACGGAAAGCAGGCTTCCCACCGAGCAGGGAACTCGATGTGGGGCTCGATCCCAGGGGTCCTGGGATCATGACCTGAGCCGGAGGCAGACGCTTAACTGGCTGAGCCACCCAGGCGCCCAGTGCCGTTGTTTTTAACAGCAGCTAGAAGTTAGACTAGTTCTTGCCCTAAGCTCTACATGTCCTCCCCCTAAGAGATACCGGGTATTGGGTTCACGGTTGCTAATTTAACAGCCGCTCCATGAAGTTCCACTGGGAATCTCTCAGGAGCCATGGACTTCAGGGGTGGAAGGCACAGTCACGGAATGGAATGGGGGCAGAAGACAGACCTATCAATGAGGGATTATGAAGAGGTGCATAATAAACATCATGGAAGTGTGGACAAAATACAGCAGATTATAGAGGTGGGTATGGGGAATGGGCAAGACAGGCAGGAGGAGCTTAACAGAAGCAGGGTTGACAAGGGAAATACAGGGGGCCTCTGGATGGCTCAGTCGTAAAGCATCTGCCTTCTGCTCAACTCATGATCCCGGGATCCCAGGGTCCTGGGATCGAGCCCCACATCGGGCTCCCTGCTCAGCAGGGAGACAGCTTCTTTCTCTCCCCAATTTGTGCTGTCTCTCTCAAATCAATAAATAAAAATCTTTAATAAAGAGAAATACAAGTTTGTCAGACAGGGTGTCCCAGGGTGGGGGGTCCGGGCCAGGAGGAATGAGCTGTGGCCAGTCAGTGGGCAACACGGGACCTGAGTGTCACAGGACCAGCGGTGGGGGAGGGGGGAGAACTCCACTGCACTGTGAAGGGTTTCTCATTACCCTGAGGACGGTGGGGGATCACTGAGCTGCTTCGCAACAGGGACAAGGTAAGATGCAAATTTTAGATTCTCCAACCGCCTGAAGGAGGGTGGTGGTAAGTGGTTGGAGAAAACAGTGTGTGGGTTAATCGTTTTCTTTGATTTTTGTTTTTGATCTTTGATTTTGATCTTGAAAAGCATTTCTAGGGAGCCACACAAGCAAATCAGAAAGCCCCGTGCAACTATTAGGTATTGTAAGGTGGTCTACTGTCGATGAACACGGTCTCAGGGACTGTGGCTAGGATACCACTCTGTTTCCAAATCTGCAGACTCAGGGGATTGAAGGGAATCGTGGAGCGTTTCCTGTGCCCAGGCTAACGGTGGTCCCTTTCCCTGCCAGGGTGGTGAGTGTTGGCTTCCCTGGAGGCCCTGTTGAGGATGGCCTGGGGACAGGCAGGAGCCTGAAGTCAGGGCTGAATACCGAGCAGCTTCATCTGCCCAGTCTCAGGGCCTGAGGCCACAGACTACCCAGCCTCTCCCCCAACTCCTTCAGGTTCCAGCTGCTGGGCTGCCCTGCCCAGTGTTGGCCTCTTCCCCGCTCCTTCCCTCTAACCCCTCCTCCTCCCCAACACTCTCACGTATGCCCTGGGTTCAGCCCCAGCTCCTTCCAGAAATCTGCAGGACAAGTGAAAGCCCGGTGCATGACAGGGCTTCACAGTCTCCAAGGGATGCTGTCCTGTGGGAGTGACAGTTGCCTGGCAACCTCCATGGTGGGGAGATGCGCCTGCAGCCCTACAGGGCTCGGCCCTCTGCGCTCTGGTTATTTGCAAACGGAGTTAATACAACATCAAGTAGAGCCTTGGCAGGGGAGAGAATGGAGAGAATGGCAATCAGAGGGCGGATGGGAGAAGGGGGGCGCAAGGGTCTGCCTTGTGCTCTAGAGGGGAGGAGGAATTACCTTCTTCTCCACCCACTGCCTGAAACACCTGCCACCAGATCTGCCACCTCCTGGGCAGCAGACATTGTGCCAATCCCTGAGAAGCCACGCAGAGCCTCCTGCTGAGCGGGGCTGGCTCATTTTAGAAGAAAATATCATCAAAGAGCATCACAAACAGAAGCAGTGGGAGAGGCCTCACTCTGCATTAGGGCCTTCAGGACAAACCAGGGGGCTGTGACCTGCTGAAGGTCAAGGTCTCTGTTCTAATTAGTGATGCCGGAGAGCAAGAGTTTAGGGCTCTGGCCTTCAGGCGTTTTCACCACCCTACTCCCACTGCAGAATCAGGACAGCAACAGACAAGCTGGGTCTTATGCCATTCTGCAGCCTCAGGGCCTGGCAGAGTTGGTGCTCAGGGAATGAATGAGTGAATGACCTGAGTTCTGGGATCATTTACTCAACTGTTCATTTGGACTTAGTTTCCCCCAAATAAAGCAGTAAGGATCTAAGCAAGGATCTGAAGTCAAACGACTGGATCTGAATCCCAGCTCAGCTACTTTGTGTGACTTTGGTCAAGTGACTTAACCTCTCTGTGCCTCCATTTGCTCACCTATAAAATAAGGGTAGCCTAGCACGTGCATTAGAGGAATGAGGGTTAAATGAATTCCTGGGGAGTCCATGAAGCACTTAGGATGGTGCCTGGAATGCAGCATGTTGTTTTTCAAGTTTTGTGCCCTATTATTTTTCCCTTCTTCTCATTTCCAGTGGACGTCTTGCTTCTCCGCCTGCAGTCTGGGGTTCTTCCTTTCTCTTGGGAAAGCCTCAGCCCACAGATGCAATGATGCCAGATGTCCGTGGGTAGGGAAGGATGGGGACACTTGGGAAACTACCAGCAGGGGATCCCCAAGAGTGAATGGGGGGCTGAGGTCCATGGTCCTCTGGAAGTGGCCCAGACTTGCCTCCAGGTCCCGTTCTGGGAGGTTGCTGGGCTTCTGGGGTATGGCTACATGGTGGGTCTACCTGAGGAGATCCCTGTCTCCCACGCGAGAACAGGAACTGCAGGGGCCATCTGGGCTGGAATGAGGGTCTCACTGGCACCTGGGCCAAACTCCAGTGGGTGACTAGTGTCCTGCAGTGCGAAGGACCCATGTGCCTGGCCAGGGACTAGAGGTAGCATTAGCACATGGTAGGGGAAAGAAAGGCAATGTTGCTTATAGACTGGAGCCTGGGACTCAGAATCAGGCCCTGTAAGCTTTGTAAACCAGGGGGATCATCAGGGGGCCCTTTTCTGTGGGTACAGGTGCCCACTGGTGCTGCCTGTGTTGCTACCTAGCTTGGCCTAAAGGCCCTCCATTCCCCAGGAATCCTGCTGGCAAAGAGCACCATAGGGTTTCCTAAATGAATGAATCATTAACACTTCTCCCCAGTCCCCCAACTCCCCAGCTTGCTTCTGCGGTCTTCCCCACCTCACCTGATGGCGACTGCCTCCATCCAGGTGCTCAGGCCAAAAACCCAGAGTCATCCTTGACCATCCCACATACCTTCTATTTCAAAATGCTGTGCACTTTGGCTTCAAAATTTGCCTTCAATACTTTCTTGCCCTCTGCTGCTCCCACCTTACTCCGGGCCCCTATGACTTCTCATCTGGGCTCCTACGCGGGCACCCAGTGGGTCTCCTGGCATGTGCCTTTGCCCCCTGCGGCCTGTTCTCCCCACAGCAGCCAGAGCAGGCCAGCTAAAACATTAGGCAGAGAATCTCCCCTCCTCAAAACCCTTCCCTGGCTCCCCGCTTCACTCAGAGCCCAAGGCCAAAGCCCTTCCTCTGCCTTCAGGGCCTCCCCGGTCTGGCTTCAACTACTCAGGCCTAGCCCACCACCCTCGCTGGTCTCTTGGATGCTCCCACCGGAGAGCCTCTGCTCTGGCTGCTCCCTGGGCCAGCTGGCCGCTCTCAACCTCCTTCCGCCTCTGCTCACCTGTCACCACCTCAGCAAGGCCTCCCTTCTAACCAGCTTTAAGACAGTTCCCCCACTCTCCCCTGCTTGGCTTTTCTCCTTAGCACCCAGGTCCTTCTGCGGAACCTCTGAAACTGTCCTGTGCCCATCCCCCCCACTGCTCCCAGCCTTGGGCTGTATCCCCCAGCATCGACACCACCCCGCCTGGCTCACCAGTCCTCGGCATCTCGTGCAGCCGCCCCGGCAGGACCCCGCGGGCTGGGGGTGGGGTGGTGGCTACACACGTAGGCCGTACCTGTTTGATGGCGAGGTTGACCACCTCGTAGCGGTTGACGCGGCCCAGGGGCAGGCAGAAGCTGTAGAGCGCGTGCAGCGCGGCGCAGAAGAAACTCAGCAGGCCTATCTGCTTGCGGTGCTGCAGCCAGTGGTCCAGCCAGTCCGGGAAGCGGCGGTACTTGGTGCCACGGCGCAGCTGCAGGGCGGCCGCCAGCACGCCGGGCAGGTACACCAGGGACAGCAGCACATAGGCCACGCACGGCAGCGTCGTGTTGACCACGGACACGGGCAGCTTGTAGAACTTGCTCTTGCCATCCCGCACATAGGGCTGCAGGACGTCCCGGACAAAGTTGTAGACGTAGAAGAAGATGAAGAGCCCCAGGGCCAGGAGGGCGGGCACCTTCCAGCCTGGGAGAAGGCGCAGGGGCATGGCTTCCACCTCCCGGGCGGAGACCAGGGACCCCATGTCCACAGGCATGAAGCCCATGGCCTGCACCATCTCCGAGACCGCCCGCTTGGCTTCCGGGTGGTCACTGCAGATGGGCACCTGTGGCAGGAGGTAAGGGGAGAATCAGACGGGGTCACAGGCCACAGGGGTGAGCAGGGACTGGGGGGCAGTGTCTCCACACAGCTCCTCACTGAGCAGCAGAGGAAGTTGAGGCCACGGAGCCACAGCACAGAAGGTGGCTCTGACTCCCAGCCCAGGCTCTTCCCCCTGCCCCCTGTAGCCTCCTGGCCCCTGGTCCAGCATGACCACGATGCAAAGAGAGGACCCAGGGCTCACCCAACAATGAGGGGTTTTGTCCGGTTCATGGCTATCAGCAACCACAAGCAACATGGCACCTGGGGAACCCCCAGGAGCCCCTGGAATAGGTACTTGGAGAACGGTAGCCTGCTCTGGGGCTCGCTCAGTAAATGGGCTTTGAATATGGCCCAGAACGTGCAGCCGTGGATGTAGCTCTGTCCCTCAGTCCATGAGTGTCCCCTTTGATGGTGTACCTCGGCCCCCATGGCCCTCAGCCAACACACAAGCCAGTCCCAGACTCATAGCCCATGGCTTTCCACTGTGAGCTCCGGGTGGTGTCCTTGGATCTCTGAACACTGTGGCCTTGCTCACACGGCTATGGTCCGTCTGGTCCACCGACACAGACTCAGCACCTTCTATGCGCTAGGCTTTACACACGTAGTCCTGCCTGCCGCCTTACCAAAAGCCTATAGGTCGGTATAGCCCCATTTTGCAAGTGAGGAAACTGAGGTCCAGAAGCTTCATTACTCACCTCTGCACCTTTGCAGGTGGTCCCCACAGCCAGGGATATCCTCCCTGCTCCCCGTACCTGACACCATGAAGTAGGACCAGGCCAAAGCTGACCTCAAAGTTTTCCTAGCCAGCTGCTCTGTTTCCTTCTAGGCCCTGCCTCCCAGTCCTCACACACTGTTCCTTGCCTGTCCACAAACGGGAGTCCTACGGTGCAGGCTACATGCAAGGCCCTCCAGTCAGGGGCAGTGAGACCCTTGAGCGCTCTCCCACAGAGTGGCACAGAGTTGGGCACAGGAGGCATCTGGGCTGGACGAATTGGTGGAAGTTCTCACACATGTAGAGCCTGACATCCTTTCGGCATTAAAAACCACCTTGTCGGGGCGCCTGAGTGGCTCAGTCGTTAAGCATCTGCCTTTGGCTAAGGTTGTGATCCCAGGGTCCTGGGATTGAGCCCTACATTGGGCTCCCTGCTCAGCGGGAAGCCTGCTTCTCCCTCTCCCACTCCCCCTGCCTGTGTTTCCTCTCTCGCTGTCTCTCTCTCTGTGTCAAATAAATAAATAAAATCTTTAAAAATAAATAAATAAAAACCACCCTGTCTTCATAGGAACCCCTCCTGCCAAGAACTGTATGCAGCTCCGGCCATTTCCTGGAGCCATTTTCCACCCCCCAGGAAAAAAAAAATCCACTATTGACTATTCTGGAAAACTGACTCAGTTCTTGGAAGCCCTTGGAATTTGAGTGCTCAAGTTTGGGACCTGCCTGCTTCCTCGGGACCTGGCACATAAATGTGTTACTTTCCTCTTTCTAAGTCCGTTCTCATAGCAGAGTCTCTCTTCTTGACTCCAGATAGTAAAAAGAAAGCGTCTTCCACCTTGCCCCCCCCCGGAAATCGAGTTACCATGGAAGAAAGGACATGGGTTTCAGATTCGTATGAACTGGGTTCACATCCCAGTTCTCCAGCGATGGGACCTGGTGTGCGTAAGTTCATTAACATTTTCTGAGCCACAGTTTCCCACTCTGTAAAATGGAACTCTACAGTGATGTGAGATAAGCCTGGCGTACTAAAGGGCCTCAACAAAAATTAGCCATTTATATTTATTGTTTTGATGGCTCGTATACCCCCCCAGCACCTACCTGTCTGTTCCCATCCCTTGGGCCAGACTGCAGGGTCCAGGCAGAGATGACATTGAAGGCCTTGACCACTGTGCACGTGGGGAAGAGGGAAGCCAGGTACTCTGCATTGGATTCGCGGTGCTGGAGGTGCTCCTGCTCTGTGGGGTTGCTCACGTCCACGAGGATCTTGCCAGCCAGCTGGTCGCTGAGGCCACACAGAGAGGAGTAGTGCTCCCGGAACATGGCCACGAAGATGACGTCAGGGGAGTCCACTGCCTCCGCCTGGAAAGTCACTTGTGCTGCTGAGGGGAACAGCCCAGCCGTGCGTTTGGGGTTGCGGCTCCCCACCACCACGCTAAAGCCAGAGCCCACCAGGCGTGTGACCAGGGAGCGGGCAAAGTCCCCGCTGCCCAGGATGCCCACTTTGGGGGCCTCACTGGGGGTCTCGGCAAGGCTCCCATCACTGTCCACCAGGCGGCGGCTGATCAGTGGCTTATCCATCTCTCCTGACACTTGGGTGGCTGGAAAGAAAGCAGAACTTGATCAGCGGAGAGCTCCCAGACTGTCCTTCATACCACCTTCCTCTTACTTGTCCATTGTAACCACATGGTGGTCAAACATTCACCCAACAGACCTCCATGGGTGTTAACAGGTGCCAGTACCGGCTGAGCGAGGCCTTCCCCAGGAGGGCACAAACTCAGAAGAGTGGGAAGGACCTCTGCCTTCCACCCTCTTCCCACTGTCCTGAATTATTTCCTTGGGACAAACATGCAAATTTGCGTAGTGCTGAGAAAGAAGTATATAGAACTTCCATATGAGGGTGCCTGGGGGGCTCAGTCGGTGAAGCATCTGCCTTTGCCTTGGGTCATGATCCCAAGGTCCTGGGATCGCGTCTGTGGCAGCCTCCCTGCTCAGAAGGAGTCTGCTTTTCCCTCTATCCCCCGGCCCCGCTCATGATCTCTCTCTAAATAAATAAATAAATAAATAAATAAATAAATAAAATCTCTCTCTTTTTTTTTTTTTAAGTAATGCTTGGGGCGCCTGGGTGGCTCATTCAGTTAAGTGTCTTCTTTTGGCTCAGGTTGTGATCCCGGGGTCCTGGGATCCAGCCCTGCATCGGGCTCCCTGCTCAGCGGGAAGCCTGCTTCTCCCTCTCCCAAATCCCCTGCTTGAGTTCCCTCTCTTGCTGTGTCTCTCTCTCTCAAATAAAGAAAAAAAAATCCTTAAAAAGATAAAAAATTGAAAAAAAGGAATGCTTAAAAAAAAAAAAAACCCACCAACTTCCATGATGAATGCTATGCAGTGCCATACTTCTTTTCAGAGGAGTATGTGATAGATGGATGGACAGTGTTACTGTCCAGGAGTGACCCCCACCTCACCGCCGCTGGGTATTTTCTGATTACTAGGAAGAGTGACATGTCCCTGTGCTTGTTCACATTTTGCATTTTGGGAAGGCACCTCTGTGCTCTTCCTTGAGTAGATGAGCAGCTTGAAGGCAGGAACCTCATATTATTTGACTTTGGATCTCACCGTTTTTGTCCCAGGGCCTGGTACAGAGCTGGAGTTCAATGTCAGCTGAGTGAATGAATGAACACTGACCTCTGCTCTCTCAGAGCGGGGCTGGAGTGGGACGTGACAGTGAATGGGACCCTGAGATTGCATGGGTGCCCTGGGATCTCCTTTACTGAGCCGGACACATGAGTGGCCATGGTGGAAAACCTGGGCTTGAGCCAGGAGCTCACAGTGAACTTGGGCAGGAAAAATTCTGCTGACCTTGCCACCAGCTTCAAACTGAAATTTGCCATTTCCTTCGAGCATGAACGTAAGCAGCAGACCCCAACAGTGCTGGTAGTCAGTGCTGACCATATCCCAAGTTCTTCAAATACTATTTAAGAGTTCTTCAAATACTATTTAAACTTGTCACTCACTTAAAATTATGGTAGACATACAATACATTTATAAAGCAAGTATTAACAGATGTGAAGAAATAGATGGCAGCACAATAATGATAGGGGACTTCAATACCACCCCCCAACAATGGATAGATCATCCAGAAAATCAGCACAGAAACGTTGGACTTGGACTACCGCTGAGACCAAACGAACCTAACATATACACAGAACATGCCATCCAAAAGCAGCAGGGTGCACATTCTCATCCATCCACAGAACACTGTCCAGGACACATCACACATTAACTCATAAAATGAGTCCTACAAATTTATAAGGATTGAAATCATAGGAAGTATCTTTTCTGATCACAACGGTCTATAACTAGAAAAAGGGCAAATTTACAAATATGTGGAAATTAAGGCATACATTACTTGTCCTTTTTCTTTTTCTTCTCAATTTTTTTCTTCTCAATTTTTTATTTAAATTCTAATGAGTCATGATACAGTGTAATACTGGTGTCAGGAGCAGAATTCAGTGATTCATCACTTACATACAACACCCAGTGCTCAATATAACAAGTCACTTCCTTAATGCCCAGCACCCATCTAGCCCATCCCCCAACCACCTCCCTCCCCCACCCCTCAGTTTGTTTTCCATCTTTGTCTCTTATCGTTTGTTTCCCTCTCTCCATTTCTGCCCCTCTCCTTGTGTGCATCTGTTTTATTTCTTAAATTGCACATATGAGTGAAATCATGTGGTATTTGTCTTTCTCTGACGGACTTAATTTTGCCTGACATACTACACTCTGGCTCCTAAAACAGACACCTAGATCAATGGAACAGAACAGAAAGTCCAGAGGACCTGGGTGGCTCAATTGGTTAAGCGACTGACTCTGACTCAGGTCATGATCCCGGAGTCCCAGGTTCGAGTCATACATTGGGCTCCCAGCTCCATGGGGAGTCTGCTTCTCCCTCTGATCTTCCCCCATCTCATGTTCTCTCAAATAAAAAAAAAGGATAGAAAGTCCAGAAATGGACCTACAACTATATGGTCAACTAATCTTCGACAAAGCCAGAAAAGAATACCCAGTGAAAAAAAGATTGTGTCTTCAACAAATGGCACTGGGATAACTGGCCAACAACATGCAGAAGAATGAAACTGGACCACTTTTTACACCACACACAAAAATGAGTTCAACATAGATGAAAGACCTAAATGTGAGACAGGAATCCATCAAAAATCCTAGAGGATGGGGGGCCTGGGTGGCTCAGTCATTAAGCGTCTGCCTTCAGCTCAGGTCATGATCCTAGGGTCCCGGAATCGAGCCCCACATCAGGCTCCCTGCTTGGTGGGAAGCCTGCTTCTCCCTCTCCCACTCCCCCAGCTTCTGTTCCTTTTCTCTCTGTGTCTCTGTCAAACAAATAAATAAACTCTTAAAAAAAATCCTAGAGGAGAACACAGGTAGCAACCTCTCTGATCTCAGCTAGAGCAACTTATTAGAAACGTCTCCAGAGCCAAAGGGAAACAAAGGCAAAAATGAACTACTGGGACTTCATCAAGAAAAAAGCTTCTGTACAGCAAAGGAAACAACTAGAAAACTAACAGGCAACCTGAAGAATGGGAGAAGATATTTGCAAATGACGTATCTGATAAAGGGTTGGTAGTATCCAAAATCTATAAAAAAATGTATCCAACTCAATACCCAAAAAACCCCCTAATAAACTCTTGGACAACCAATGAGCCAAAGAAGAAATCAAAAGGGAAATTCAAAAATCTTGAAACAAACATGAAAATGCAAACTCAGCATACCAAAACTTACGGGATGAAGCAAAAGTGGCTCTAAGAGGGATGTTTGTATCTTACAAAAGAGGAAAGATCTCAAACAACCTACATTTACGCTTCAAGGAGCTAGAAAGAGAACTATTCCAAAGTTCTAGCAGAAGGAAAGAAATAACAAAGAGCAGAGTAGAAATAAATAAAATAGAGGCTAGAAAAACAATAGAAAAGATCAACGAAACTAAGATCTCGTTTTTTAAAAAGATAAACCAAATTGATAAAACTTTAGCTAGACTAAGAAAAAATAGACTCCAAATAAAAAATGAAAGGTATATTTCAACTGATACCGCAGAAATACCAAAGATCATAAGAGACCACTACAATTATCAAACAATTATATGGCAAAAAATTGGACAACCCAGAGGATATGGATAAATTCCTAAAAACCTACCATCTATCAAGACAGAATCATGAAGAAATAGAAAAGCTGAACAAGCCAATAATGAGTAAGGTGACTGAATCAGTAGTAAGAAATCTTCCACCAAGTATTTCAAGAAGATTTTTAATGCTAGCCCTTCTCCAACTGTTCCAAAAAAATCAAAGAGGAGGGATCACTTTCAGGCTCATTTTATGAAATTAGAGTCACCCTGATACCAAAGTCAGATAAGGACACTACAAGAGAAGAAAATTATAGGCCAATATCCCTGATGAGCACAGATGAAAAAAATCTTTGACAAATTACTAGCAAACTAAATTCAACAGCACTTTTAAAAGGATCCTATACCACTATCAGTGGGATTCATCCCTGGGATGCAAAGATGGTTCAACATATACAAACCAGTAAATAAATGTGACACACATCCACAGAATGAGGGATAAAAATCATGTGAACCTACCAACACATGAAAAAAAAATCATTTGGCAACATTAACATCCTTTCATGATGAAAACTCCATTCATAGTGAAGGAGTACACCTTCAAGGTCATATATGGCAAGCCCACACCTAATATCACACCCATTGGTTAAGAAGCTGAAAACTTTACCTCTAAGATCAGGAAAAAGACAAGGATGCCCCTCTTGCCACCTCTATTCAACATAGCATAAGAAGTCTTAGCCACAGCTCTTAGCCAAGAAAAAAAGAAAAGGCATCCACATTGGAAAGGAAGAAGTAAAATTTGTTTCTGTTTGCAACTGACGTGATCTTACATATAGAAAACCCTAAAGACCCCACCAAAAAAAAAAAAAAAAAAAAGTAAATGAAAGAAAACAAGACAACCCCTCCCCAAACAAATAATTCCGTTTAAAAATGGGCAAAGGACCTAAACAGACATTTTTCCAAAGACAACATACAAATGGCCAACAAGTATACGAAAAGATGCTCAACATCACTAGTCATCAGGGAAATGCAAATCTAAGCCACACTGATGTCTCTCCTCAAACCTGTTAGGATGACTATTATCAGAAAGATCAAAAAGTCAAAAGACAGTAAGTGTTGGAGAGAATGTGGAGACAAGAGAACCACTGTGCACTGTTGGTGGGAATATAAATTGGTGCAGCTATTACAGAAAACAGCATGAAGGTTCCTCAAAATATTAGAAATAGAGATACCATAGGATCCAGCAATCCATCTTCTAAGTATATATTCAAAGGAAATAGAATCACTATCTCAGTGACGCCTGGGTGGCTCAGTTGGTCAGGCGTCTGCCTTTGGCTCAGGATAAGATCCTAGGGTCCTGGGATGGAGTCCCAATGGGCTCCTTGCTCTATGGGGAGCCTGCTTCTCCCTCTGCCTGCTGCTCTCCCTGCTTGTGCTCTTTCTTTCTCTGACAAATAAACAAATAAAATCTTAAAA